TTCTTTAAAATCAATGGAATCATTTATGCATGTTTATATTTTCTTGGTTTGTTGCCTCAGTTCATTAATTTTTTTCCCTCAAACTGCCAAATATTGTATTGGTTCCCTAATGTTATTTGTTATTACATTTATCCCAGGTAAACTATTACCTAAAAATATATATTTAAAAAAGGAATAACTGATTTATTTCTTTGGCAGTTGATAGAAATTACACATTTTGTTAAGATTCAAAATTCCTTATTGGTTTTCTTATTAAGTTATTTTCATTTTAAGAAAAATGAACAAAATATTTCTTGAAGAAAAACAAATAAAAAAAAAATTCAACATGGTCATCCCATCACCACATTTTAATGTGTGATTCGTCTTCCATGAGATGAGAGTCATAGTTGATGTTTACATGATGGTAATTAACACGATTGGTTGTTAAACGAGAGACTTGTGCCCGTTTACTGACTTTGTATCACACAAAATGTCTTGTTAAAGCAGAAAAGTGTTTCATATTGTAAAGAACTCATAGGCAGCATGAATATGTTATCATAGTTTTATATTTTTACATATGTGCAACCACAGGAATTAACTTAAAACAATCCAGAAAGAGGTTCCACTTGTTGCTTTAATGTGATTTTTATCGTTATGCTTTAAAGTTCAAGTCAATTGATCTTGATTAGAACATATTGCAAATGTGGCTTTTTATCAACATTTTACATCAGCCCTGTTAATACTCAACTATATTAATATCTGTGGATGTGAATATATATAATATTTTCAAAATACTAAATTGTAAAGCAACTTTAATTCAGTTTGCCACAGAAGTGATAAGATTGAAAGCCAAACCAGTGAATTGAGAAAAGTAAAAAGAGAGAGTAGTGAGAAAAGATAATATTAAATTATGTGAAAAATATTACAAAAGACTATTTTCAAACAAAAAATCTGTAATGATTTATGCGTTTTATATTATGAAAATTTCTTAAAGGGATTTCAAATCATTTAAATCCCTTTAATTAAAAAAAAAAAAAAAAAGATAAATCCCCCAAATTGAAATCTGTAAGGAAAACAAAACATTTTGATGAAAACACTATAAAGTCAATTTAACTTACTTTAGAAAAAATATATTAATGCATAATATAAAAGTAAAGTAAGAGGTTAAAAAATAAAAATCACACTAAACTTGAAAGTGGAAGAGGAGTTTTAATGAGCGTTGGCCAATCAGTCATGTTATTTCAACCAGTTTTCTGTCTGTATTGTTTATTTTAATCACATGATTTATGTTACAAACACTCTGAGCTAACTCCTAATGTGACTGTGTGTTTGACGGATGTGTGATTTGGCACAGTTTGAACTCTGTACCTCATGGCTCAAACATGATGAATTCCTGTTGCCTGATGTTTAATTTATACATGTGCACTGAATCTATGTAGAGCCTACGACATAGATTTAACACAAAAGTACAAATTTCCCCTTAGTTTGTGCAGTCATCAGTCACATGATGACGTGCGAGCGCTGGAGTGAGTGTGTGTTACAGTTACAGACTAAATGTTGTTCTGCTAGATTGTTTTTAATTAATAAAAAGTCACAAAAATGAATTCTGATCTCAGCCTGTTCTGATTTTTATCTTGAGGTGTTTTACTTGCTGCCAGGTCCTGGATTTCCTTTGATATCTCAAGATTTTAGGAAATCCTTGATGTATAATTTAAACCATACCACAAATCATTCTGAAATATACCGTGAGTGTTGTATTTTTGTCATTTATATTAGTTTATATTTATAATTTACTATAATTTAGTATTTTATAATTAGTAATTAATAATAAACCTGGAATGATTCAGAAATTCAGATTGTGTCATGGAAATAATACAAAAAATAAATATAAAACTTTTTTCTTTTTAATTTTTTATATTTTAAACCTCTGAACACAACTTGTTATAATTGTTTGACTATTTCAGAATATTTCAGAGTATTTAACCTTTTTGGGGAAAATTAATTACTATTAATTTATTTTATTGTTTTGAAACTTAGTTATTTGGGTTTTTTAATGTTCTGTAAGTTTTAATATGTTAAGGTTGAGTCATCACTGAGTTTATTTTTTACAGTTTCAAGTCAGTTCGCTGTGTCTATACCTGGCTAAATCACCACAGTAACATATGCACATAATCTGGTCAGGAGCAGGTTATGTTCAGAGTTTGGGTTTAATATCAGATAGAATTGCCCTTTGATTCTTCTATTTCTATTTATTTTAAGTGCAAATATAATACATAATATAATATTGCTTTGTGCAATATTATATTATGCATTATATTTTTTTCTATATTATGTATAATATGTAAGATGACCTGACGTGCAAAAAATTATTATTACTGTTCAAAATGGGCCAGCTGTTCAAGAGTCTGATGGCAGTGGGGAAGAAGGAGTTGTTGAGTCTCGATGTTCTGGAGTTCACACTTCTGAACCTCCGCCCTGAGGGCAGAAGTGTGAACAGTCCGTGTTGGGGGTGTGTGGGGTCTTTGAGGATGGAGGCAGCTCTCCTCTGGACTCAATGATGGTAGATGCTCTGCAGAGAGGGCAGCGGTGTCCTGGTGATCTTCTCCACAGTTGTTATCACTCTCTGCAGGCGTTTGCGGTCCATAGCAGTAGTGCTGCCGTACCATGCAGTGATGCAGCTGGTCAGTGTGCTCTCCACAATGCAGCTGTAGAAGCTGCTGAGGATCTTGGCCAACATACCAAATTTCCTCAGCCTCCTCAGGAAATACAGCAGCTGCTGAGCCTTCTTGACCAGCTGTGTGGTGTTCAGTGTCCAGGCGAGGTCCTCGGTGATGTAGACGCCCAGGTACCTGAAGCTGCTCACCCTCTCCACTTCATGCTCCCGGATAGACAGCAGTTGATGAGGTCTCCTCTTCTTCCACATGTCCACTATCATCTTCTTTGTCTTGTCAGTGTTGAGGGTGAGGTTGTCCTCACACCATGACACCAGACCAGCCACCTCTCTCCTGTAAGCCGCCTCGTCTCCTCCAGTGATGCAACCGATCACTGCAGTGTCGTCCGCGAACTTCAAAATGATGTTATCTTTGTTGGAGGTGACACAGTCGTGAGTGTACAGGGTGTAGAGGATGGGACTAAGGACGCAACCCTGTAGGACGCCAGTGTTTGTAATAATGCTGGCTAAAGTCGTGTTGCCAATCCTGACAGACTGCGGCCTGCCAGTCAAAAAGTCCTGCAACCAGTACAACATAGGGTGGGGTGCAGGCCGAGTGTTGCCAGCTTGTGAGGGAGTTTGTGTACAATGTGGCTGCTGTGTGGTAATTGTACTAACAGACCATCAAACTTTCAACTATGGTGTTGACTGATAGGAAAACATCAACTTTGTCATTAATGTTTTGTCTTGTTCACTATTTAATTTGTCTGAACACCCTGAGGTGACCTTATGAAGTTTTCTCTTGAGTTTCAGTTGTTTCTATCCTGAACTGAACCGTGCTGACTCCATCTGACCTGGTTGGAGGTCTGCCAATCCCATCAGGCACCTGAACCTCCCCACACACAGTTAATCTGTCTGATTAATGAAGGGCCATTTGTCTTTGTTTCGGGGATTTCTTTTGGGATTAACATGCTCAGTCAGACATCTGCTGCTTCACATCAGCTCATTACTCAAATCCTCATCTCCTGACTCGGCCTCGCTCTGCTCTGTCTGTCGCTTCTGGTTCTTTTTGTCCTAATTTTTCTGATTTTTGGGACATTGTTAAAGCTGCAGGAATGACAAGAAACAGCCATAGTGACCTTCACTACCTCACTGGGTTCATTTTGTTCCGCTGAGGTTAACTAATGACTCGTTGTCGTTGTAATTTTGCAGTTTTTCCTCTCAGAGAAAGAGTACTGCTCTTATGAAGCATAAACTCAACATCAGAGAGAAACATGATGGAGATGTTCGACAAGAGATGACAAACATGACGCATGTTTTAAAGAAGAAACTTTGAGGCTGAAGAGCAATGAAGACAAAATAAACTGGACTGGAAAGGAAAAACTGTGAATTTGAAATGTGAGAGAAACCAAAGAAAGCAGGAAGAGTGTTTGAAGGATCAAACTGCTGTCAAACCTTTATCTGGACAGGATCAAAGCAACAAGTAGGTACAACACAAACACTCAAACTTCACACTTTCCACACAGTTTAATCGAGGCGAATTCATGTTGTATATGCTGCTAACTCCTGTTGATCACAGGGGGTCATATGACTGTTGGGCTTTTCTCCATGTTCTTTGTATTACTGTAGGGTTTTTACCGTACAATATAAAGAACCCTTAGGCATCTGGTGTTGTGATTTGGTGCTGTATAAATAAAACTGAACTGAAACTGAATTGAGTCTCATATCCAGTAATCCTCTGTTTGTTCGTGACCATAAAGCACTTAAGCAGTTTTTGCTTTCTGAAGGACACTCCTATGTTAAACTCCTTAAACTGTTAAAAACCTTAAACTGCAGAGTTACATCAATTTCTATTCAAACAAAAATAAATGTATATAAATAATAAAATTAAATAATATTAATATTAATAGATTTTAGAGAAACAAAATACATTTTTAGCTATTTCCAACAGCTTAGGAGTTGCTTCAGAGTTTTAAAAAACTCCAGTAAAAGGTCAAACAATGACAGAATAAGTTAAAACTATATTAGTTTCCTCTTTGCTCCTCACATATATGGTTCTTGTGATGAATGTATGTTTTCATCTTGATTTAGATTTTTGATTGGATTGGTTAATATTTTTCTTTCATTTGTAGAGGAGTCTGGAACATCTCTGATAAATGATAAAAGCTTCCCTCACATCAACAGAATCTGCATTTGACACACACTATTTAGTATCGTGGATCTTGCTAACACAGAAAGCTAACCAACAAGCATTTATTTCAGTAATACTTGTAATATTAGCTGATAAAGTGAAAATGGCAGCTAAGTTTCCAGATCAGCTGTAGAAGTTTGGAGTAATTAGTTAACCTTATCAACTAAAGATGGGATTTAGCTATGTGGCACTAAACCTAACATGCTAATATTAATGATGCTAATATTACACAGAAAAAAAGAGCTCAAAATCATGTTCGATCCAGAAAACCATGTAAATTGACTGGTATGAACTATAGTTATCAAAAAATGGTCAAAGTTGTGTTTGTTATGGACCAGTTTAAAACTGAATTTATACTGACTAATGTTGGCTTACCTATGCAGACAAGTTGCTTAGTACATGGCATAGTAGCTATCTGACATATTATGAGAAGAATAAGAAAGGAGAGCAATCAAATGCAATTTGAACTGAGTAAAGGTTATTTTAAAGCTCATAATTTTCCTTTTTTTCTTTTTTTATCCCATGTTCAGACATCCTGCATCTAAAGCCCAAATTTAAAGCTTCACTTGCTGAAATTTATCTTACTGTAAATATTGTTGTTTTATTAAGTGTCTGATAGCCAGTCCAGGTGAACTGATTTTAGAGTGCTAACAAGTAATTTTTCTTCTATTTACCAATCCAGACATCTGATAATAGAGATTTAATGTCCTGTCAGCAGTCAGGTTAGTGTGTTGCTACCTGATTGGATTAACCCTGAAACCTGGACCTGATCTGGGCCAAGACTGCGTTCAGCCAACTGTGCCACTGAGAGGCGTCTTAGATTTTTGGCAGAGAGACCTGAAACCATTTATAGTCAGCAGCCACTTTATTAGATACACCTGAGAGGTTAAATGGAGTCCAGTACAACAACTTGGCAATGATTTATTTTATTTTTTCAATATTTCTGTTAATCTTTACATTTTACATATCTATATGTCATATATATGACATTTACAGTGTGGAGTATAAAATATTAGGAACTCATTTAAATGCAATCCAGAGCAGCCACTTCAGTAATAAACATTAAGTAGATATCTCCCTTTTGACAGTCAAAAGAAAAATTTAAAATGTAAGTTGAATATTGAAAATCAAATAGCCTGAAGGTTTTTATCTTAGTTATATTACAAATATTTTTATTTATTGATTGATTTTGTTTCTTTTCTGTGCACATGTTTCACATGTAAAGTGAGAAGTTTGTGAAAAAAACAGTTTATGACCTTTGTGTAACTGCAAAAAATGTAATAAAACCAATAAAATATAATAAATGATGCTCAACCAATTGGTAGAGCACATTTTCAGGCCCTATATCTAACTGAGGCTTTCACTGAAATTGACCTACCTTATTGAGTCTTTTCTACCAATTGGTTTTTCATCTGTAATGCCCAAAAAATCCACCAGAAGGCACTGTGAATGTAAACGGTTGGCTCTTCTTATCCCTCTACCAACCAGGTAGTCAGAAACAAAAAAAACATCAAACATATTTTGAGTGTTTTTGATGAAACTAAGGTAGGAAGATATAATTTTTTGATTTATGATAGTGTTAGAGGACTTACTAAACAGATGTATATCACTTGACAGCATTAAAAAAGTGAAATTAAATGTTTAATTTTTTTTTTTTTAAAGTGGTCAACCAAACGGTTGATTTGTCCCTTTGTGGTGCTAATGCTAACATAACCTAAATGTTATTAAAATTGATTATTTGCCATAAAATCAGACCACTAGACCCATTTTGTTTATCCATTGCTGTTGATAAATCACATTAAGTGTTAGCACAGCAAGAATATGCTGAAATAATTTCCTCAGTAAGTCATTTTTGTAACTTTCTGAGTTAGTATTAGTAAATATTGTAAAAATCAAGAATAACATGTGGAAATCACAAATATCACAACTGATTACCTTTTAACCAAATTACAGTAGCTGGTAAATTAATATTACTAAGTTGTCAAAATTATAATTTCATGTTGAACAAGTACTGTATGGACGCTAAACAATTATATGGCTAAAAATCACACGTCCTGTGGCATGATACTCATGATATCATCCACCTTCAACCACAGTGTGTTTGAGGTCATGGTCTCATATGAAGCCACAAGGTCTGATGAAGGTCTGATTGCAATGAAATGGTTTGACATCAAATGTGTCAACCTCCTAAACAATGCCTGTGGGTTCATGCCTCTTTCATTGGTCAAACGGTGGAGCAAAGAGTCCAATACAAAGATCACCATTCCATGCCCATCACTCATCCCTGTATATAATTAGCATATGGGAGGAATTAAACTTTCTGATATGCTATGACACCTGTATAAGACAAGTTATAAGTTACAAGTTAAGGAGATGGCTGTAGCTGTAGCTCAGGTGGCAGAGCAGGTCAGCCACTAATCAGAAGGTCGGTGGTTCGATCCCAGGCATGCCAAATATCCTTGGGCAAGATACTTGTTTGCCTACTGGTGGTGGTCAGAGGGCCCGGTGGCGCCAGTGTCCGGCAGCCTCGCCTCTGTCAGTGCGCCCCAGGGCAGCTGTGGCTACAATGTAGCTTGTCATCGCCTGTGTGTGAATGACTGAATGTAGTGTAAAGCGCTTTGGGGTCCTTAGGGACTAGAAAAGCGCTATACAAATGCAGGCCATTTTTACCATTTACCATATTCCACTGTTTGGATACATCCTTGATTTGAATACCTGGTCTACAAGAGGGACTGTGCCCTACTGGACCAGAAACCGATGGCTCTCAAAAGGTTTCCACCTGGCTGTGTCTGAACCAAGTTAACAAGCCAGCATCTAGAGTTGGACAACCATGATTCAGCTCTCCAAGACCACAGAATAAATGCTACACCCTAAGACCCCAACGACCAAAACTGCAAGCAGATGTGATTGATTTGCACTGTTTTTAGGTTTGTTTGTTTTTTAAACAAAAATGATTTTGCACAGTAGCATTCAATCAGAAGTGGCCTGAATGTGAGTATTTTGTGCTGTTGCACATTTTTCACATTTGCAGATTAAAAAAAAATATGTATTTTGTTGTTTGATATAATAGTTTCCTTTGATGGAATGAAAACAGCAATGTTCACTGGCATGCTACTAGAAATAAACTGTATCCAATGCCCTGAATAGTTTTTGTTATTAATTTAATTATAATTTGGCCCTTTATTTGATTTTTTTCAACTGTATTATCTACTGTACTTGTATTTGCATGACATTTCATACTTTTACCATGAAGGGACATCTCAACCATTTGGTAGAGATCAATATTTTAAAAACTAAAGGGTCTATTGAAAAACTTGGTGTGGATCTCAAAGGGTCAAAAGGCTGATAAGTGTAAAAACTGAAAAGCTATGAAGTGGCTAGCTTGTCCAAACTGTATCCCTCCTTTTATCCCATGTTTGGGTTCAACTCCACCACACTGTAAAATTTAGTAAGTTGTCATTACAAAAAACAAAACAAAACTGGTTGTCTTTACAAACTGGTCTTAGAGGAAATGCAAATATGCATTTACATTACATTATAATTTGGAGGGTATTTGCACTCATATATCAAATAAACACCTTATTCAGTGATTGCAACTAAAACCTGAGTGGACTTCATCACTTGGACAAACTTCATATCATCACCATCAACACCAGCTTCTATGAAAAAATATGTTATTTACTAGAAATTAAAATTGTCCCATGCAACGCACAAGTACAGGAAATCTGATTTTATTAACATTTTGAGCACAAGCCTGAACAAAACTAGTCACAGTGACTTTTACACTGGAAATCATGTTACACGCCCACAAAAGCCAAATCTGCACACACCCAAACTGAATGAAGGATCACAATTACTTAGTAAAACACATTTACACAACTATACTCTTCAGTGCGCATTATTCAATGCAGTTAACAAACTTCAAAAATATATATACATAACGTTAAATGCACTGATGTAATTTAAGGTTGTTGTATTTACTGAGTAACACTCCTTAGGCAATTATTTTGTGTAAAATGGATTTTAATGACAAATCATCATTACCGGTGCCACTTTTTTTCTAAGTGCTTCTTCTGGTTTGTTTTTAGCCCTGTGTACGGGAGCCTGGAGGTTTTCTCAACGCTGAAAGACAGAACATTTTTGCTGCTGTTATCACTGATGTAAATCTGTTTGACACCAATCAGCTCACAGAAGAGCCAGGCCTTACAACTCTGTAACCATGGGTGAAGATTGCAGCGAGCTGTTAAATGGTGACTGTGAGGCGGCACGGCAGACTAGCAACATCACCTTTAGCACCGGGATAAGCCCCACCTCCAACGTGCGCAGGAAGCAGCTGCTGTGGCAGAACGCCGTCAGGAACATCATTGACCAGCACAACCTGTACACACTGAGGCTCGCTGGGGGTCTGGAGCGAGGCAAGCACCGTATCAAAGTCACCGATGCCTACATCGCGGACATCAACAGGTAGAAAGAAACTGATTTCTGAGTTAACTGAACCTTAACTATAATAAACGTTGGTATTAAGGTTAACTTCATCCTGACGAAATTGCAAATGATCTCAATTATAACCTTGAAATAACATTCCTGATTACTTTTTTCTTGATCGTTAATTAACTATAAACATATTAGTTAACTCCCAAAATGGGATTTTTTCTCATTAATGTACAAAATAATGTAATCATAAAGTTATTTAAAGTGTTACTTTACATTCCTTCCAGAATAATTTATGTGTTTATTAAAAATACATTTATTCATAGTAATTTTAAGATTGAATTGATTGAATAACCTTAATAAAAGTATTACACAATACAGTATTCTTCCGTCTGTGTTGTCTTGCAGGCAGATCCGCAATAAAGCGTCTCGTGGAGTATTTTGGCAGAAGCGCCGTTCGTCAGCAGCTCGCATTCACCCAACAGTCACCACAGCAACACAGAGCAAACACGACCCACTCAGTGATGCTGACTTCTTTGTGTCGTCTGGGTGGACGGTGCGAGGCGTCTTCATCCCCACACTGCAGCACAAATTCAAGTAAAGACATTCAAATGGACATGCTACCTAAAAACCATACAATTATTAGCTGTATAATAACAATTATGATACAGTCATAAAATTAATGATCTTTGTTTAAATATGCTTTGTAGCATAAACTTTGATAGTATTTAGAAATTTTTACATATTTAATCATAAATCTTTACTTGTCTGGTTTATTTATTTCGGTGTCTTATTGACTATATTGTTGCTTATTGTCAATGGTATAAAAATAAGTAATGCTGACGCTTATAACCTCTTCAGGTCTGCAGACTTGGAGCAGCTCTACCAGCAGTTCTCCTCGGCTCAGAGAAGAACCTCACTGGTCGTCACTGTTGTCGTTGACATCCTGACCCGCCTTCTTGTCTCATTGCTAACATGGCCGCTGGGCTGGTGGGGCATGGCCTGTGATTGGCTTACCGGCCTGTCTGTAGTCTTGTGGATAGGAATCTGCCTGGTGGTTCTGACCAGAAAGGAAGTCTTGTCATCACCTCAGTGGCTTAGGTACACTGGGATGTAGTCAGCAGTTCTTTTGTTTGCTTGTTTGTTTTTTAACTAATCTCAATCTCCAAAGGATTCACATCATTAAAAAACAAAGATTCTATTCTGCTCTTTAAAGCTTTGCTTTTTGTACAAGCAAACAGTGGTGTACCACAGGGCTCCTTATCTCTGCGCCAACTTAGCAACATCACACATGAACTAAGTTACTATGTCTTTTAATGTAATCTGTCACTAATATTATAGTACCTTGATGTGCAAAACAATATGGATTTATTTGTTTATTTATTTGGCTATTATTAGGAAAGAAGCACTGCACTGCAGAGGGTATGTTTAGTTTAAGATAAATATCAAGTTACATGCAGATGACGTTTCATCCTACCAGCAGAATCTAAACAGTAGCTCAAATGTTAAACCACAGATAAGTCAATGTGACTTCTTGACTGCATTTACCAACACAGAAGTGATTTTCTAAGAAAAATTCTGTCAATAGAAAATTGTACTTAGTAGTCAGTATAGTCTTTTAATAATATAAGTTTGCATTTGATAGAATACTGCATGATGGCCTCTTTATGACTCAGACTGATGTTTTATTTCACTGTGACCCGTTATCATGCAAGGAAGGAGCAGATCCTGCTAGTGATAGATAAAAGCTGAACAAGCAGTTTCACTCCGTACCAGGAAGAGGAATTTCTCCTGGCACACACGCACCCTCACACACACACACACACACACACACACACACACACACATTCCAATGTAATAAACGAACGCACCTACTGTTGTATATAAATAAAGACCAGGGCAGTGACAGGGTGCGAGTCCCTGAGCCCTCACTCTCGTGCAAGTGCTCTGTGACTGCCCTTGTGCAAGTAAAACTGTGTGTCTCCACTCTCTGACTCTCAGCTGAAGAAGTGTCTTTAGAATATATCTCCTGACAAATTCCCAACATTGAAAGATTGAAAAGGAAAGAAGAGCTACAACTTCAGAAGCCGAAGGAACCTCTAAAATTCTTCAGTTTTCCAGAGTCAAAAGTACTTATTCTGAAAATGTTTCACTTAAAAATTTGAAGACAGTGACCTGTTCTTCCTTTAAATCTACCTCAGGTATCTGTCAGTGGTCAGCTGGCTGTCTCAGACCTTCCAAGTGCTGATTGGTGTTTTCAGTTGGGCGGAGAGCGATCACTCTTGGTATGTCTTCTTCACGCTTTTCTCCACTTACACCCTCCTGCCCCTCCCCCTCCTCTGGTCCATCATTGCGGGGGGAACCACCTCCACTCTGCACCTCCTGGTGGATTTCTGCTGTCACTATAATGACCACAGCTTCATCAGAAAGGTAACAAAATTGCTACATTTTATTGGTTGCTTTCTGTCATTGTGCAGGCGTTAAACTGTTTGGTTGTACACGTGCAGGTGTTGTCCAAGGCTCTGCTGTATCTGGCTATGAACACTGCGGGTCTGTTCATTCACTACCTGTCTGATTGGACTCAGAGACAGTCTTTCCTGGAGACCAGGCGCTGTATCGAAGGACGAGTCAGACTAGAGAGGGAGAACAACAGACAAGTGAGGATGATATTTAAGGGTTCCCTAATTTTTTGTGTCCCTATTGAAGTGGAAGAAGTACTAGGATCATTTGTAAATGTGGTCAACCTATTCATCTATTTATTAATGATCTCAGTTATCAGCATAAAGTCAAATCATCATTTTTCTGACCAACGTAACAAGATGTTTAACTAAGAAACAGCTAGGTAGCAAGTCACGTGAAACAAAGTATTTGGGATATGTCTGGACCTCATATATCCTAAAGCTAATGATACGTGCATCTTTGTGCTGTCAGGAACGCCTGGTGATGTCAATCCTACCTCGATTTCTGGTTCTGGAGATGATTGGTGACATGGCCGTCATGGAAGATTATCTGCTGCCTCAGCAGTTGCACAAGATCTACATTCACCATTACAAGGATGTCAGGTAATACAACCCACTTATTTATGATGAAGAGCCAGCTGGACACACATGCTATAAATGTAGTTTTAAAAGAATGAAGAACTTTGAGGCGCTTCGACAGACTAACAACTCTACTATAGTTATTGTATCGACTGAAATGACTAGTTCTGGCAGTCAAATGAGCAGTTAACCTTTAACCACAGCGTTTTGTATCAAAAACCTCTAACTTTAGGCTCTAGTTTAGCTTACTAATTGTGGAGCCAACCACATACCACACAGCTATAACACAGTCCAACTCATGGACCTTTGCTGAGTTTCTTCCTCCAAACAAAAATGCCCCCAAAATTAATTAACGCTTGAACAGCCAGCAGGTGTGATTTTAACCCTGTTCTGCAACAACACCAGTAATAATGCAAAGGCATAATTTCTTAAAGAAGTTTTTAGTTTTCATCTAATGCAAAATAAGACTGAACAATTATTGTTAGTGGTTTTATAAATTATTTCGATGATTTCATTACAGATTGTAAAGTTAAAAATGTAGAGGGTGAATAAAGAATATGTAAAGGTCATTTAGCCAAAAATGTATTGCAGTAGTGGTTTTACATTGGTTTCAGTGGGATTAAAAGGATATTCTCATGATGAGAATTTTGCCTCTCCACAGCATCCTGTTTGCAGACATCATCGGCTTCACATCGCTGTCATTGATTCTTTCGGCTCAGGATCTCGTTAAAACTCTCAATGAACTCTTTGGTCGCTTCGACAGGCTGGCTGAGGTCAGATCACCTTGTCAACTGCATCAGCTCCTGTTTTACGTGTTTGTACTAGTTAAAGGATTGGTGTATTTGTTATTCTACTAGGGGTTCTTTTGTTAAGTTTTGTATAAAGTTTTTTCATTTGAATTTAGTCTTTATTTGGCTTTTGCCATTTATTTATTTATTTAGTGTTTTTTAGATGTACAAGGCCACAGTTTTTCTTTTTCCCCTGTGTTTGAGTACAGGAGCACCAGTGTTTGCGCATTAAGATTCTGGGTGACTGTTATTACTGCGTATCAGGAGTCCCAGAGCCTCAGAGAGGACATGCCCGGTGCTGTGTGGAGATGGGCCTCAGTATGATCAACACTATACGGTACCAATCATCTGTGGCTAACACATCCCTACAGCTGTTTCCACAAAACTTCATAGGTGTATTTCATTTTAGTTACGTTCGTCGGGAGCTCCAGCAGGAGGTGGACATGCGAATAGGCGTCCACTCTGGCTCCGTCCTTTGTGGTGTTTTGGGTCTTCAGAAGTGGCAGTTTGACATCTGGAGCTGGGACGTGGACGTCGCCAACAGTTTGGAGGCTGCAGGAGTGCCTGGGTAAGACAAATTAATACATAATAAATCCTTATTACTTAATTGCCAAACTGCAGTTTGCTATAGGTGTCATCCCATAAAGTTAATCTTAATGATTAAAATACAGAAGATTTTTGTGATGTGTTCATGTAACACCGTTGTACTTTTTCATCTCCTTTCAGTCAGGTTCACATCTCCCAGGCCACTCTGGATTGTCTGGGTGGGATCTATGAGACGGAGGCGGGACATGGCCAGGAGCGTAGCGAGTTTCTACGGAAACACAACATCGACACGTACCTGGTCCGTCCGGCATCGAAGGAAGATGTGGAGCCGCCTAAAGCAAGGCGCCCCAGTTATGACGAGATAACAACGTGGAGTGCTGAGCTGCCATTTGGAGACATCCTGGGAAAGAATTTTGTGAGTGCAGGAGACAGATTCAAAGTCCATTAGTACTTTTCTGATTGAATTTCAATAACCTTTGACCTTTTGTTGTATTCTTTGTTGGTTCACAGATCCTTGCTACTTTTACCAATGGTTCACTGACCCAGCTGCCCAATCATATCGCAGCTCAGCGCTCAGGAACACGGGAGGTGAACAAGAGGATTCGCCAGGCCATGGAGGTGCGCAGCAGTGAGCGAATGAGGAAGGAGCACATCACCACCTTTACTCAGGTGTTTAAGGACTCCCATGTGGAGGGAAAGGTAACACGAGAACTTTTTTTCTTAGTAGTTTTTTTGGGGGGTGAAACTGGCACCTTGAAAACAGTCGTTAATAAAATGTTTGTCTCTCAGTATTCTCAGATGAGAGACGAACTCTTCAAATCTAACATGGTTTGCTCCTTCATTCTGCTGCTGCTTTTAATGACAGTCCAGGTGCTAATCCCAGCCCCAAGGTATCGATTTTCCTTTTGTTAAATTATGTAAATAATTGTAAATGATGTTTGTCCAATTATCCAACAATTGGAAAAACATAAGCTTAGCATGTTGTAAAAAACAAAACAAAACAAAACCATAGAATTTGTATTTATTCTTCAGATAAAACTGAAGACACTGCTATTGGTCCTGATCATATTTCAAGTAGTGTTACTTTCTACTGTAACACGTTCAAAGTCGCTGAAATCACCTTTTTCCATTCTGACCTTTATCTTGACCGTGTCTACATGCCAAATACATTAAATTGCTGCCATGAGATTAGATATTTGTATTAAAGAGCAGCTGTAATTAAATATGTATTGAATATATAAGACTTTGTGATCTTTTCAGCACCAAAATGTAACAGTACAAAAACAAGCTTCTGCAAATGCTTTTTTGTTTTTTATCCATCCATCCATCCATCTTCATCCGCTTTATCCGGGGCCGGGTCGCGGGGGCA